TTGGTAAACAAATTTAAAGTCGCCATCATTTGAAAGGGTAATTGACGTGCACCTCCAAAGGTCAAGTTGGAGATATTTTCTAATCAACCTGTTCTGAGATGTTACTACGCAACTCAGGAAGCAGGTGGGACTTAAATCTGGGCCTTCTGACCCAGAGGTAGTGACACTACCACTGCACCACAAGAGCACCTACAACCCAATTTCAAAGGGTGAGAGTCATTAAACAGCAGGCAGGCCTGTTTAATTGGGGAACTGAAGACAGCATGTCTGAAGAGAATTGTCCTGTCTTTATGAGAGAGATTAATTAATTTAAGCAATTTCCCAGATCAATGGAATTTGAAAAGAAATGGATAAAGAAATGAAGGTCTTCAAGTATCGATATACTTTTCAGAGTCAGAGACAAGTTTGAAATTGATAGTAATTACTTGAAATCCCCATCTGGACATGCCATGATTGTAAAGAGGCAAGTCTTTTTGTTTTGGGGCTTTGTGTTTGTTTTCTCTCAGAAGCTGTTTGTTAGTTTAGCAGTCTAAGAAAAGCAGTCATACACCTGCTGGCAACCAGAATAAGGAGCATCTGGTCCATTTAGAAGCTAGGTGTATTCCTGAATTGGAGGCAAAAGTTGCACGAGGGAGCCCACAGTCAAAATACAAAGTCCAATATCTTGAGGGATTAACATGGTCAGATCTGACTGGTAAAGCTAGTGGAAGATTTCGAGATTTATGAGGATTTCACTGCCAGCATAGGCTCTGCAAATCTAGTGTCAGACTCAGAAACTGAAGAGAGTCCAAATAAATTCCTGAGAGCTGTGACAGCCTTATTTAGTCTCTGTGGGCCTGCTGCACCATCATGGCTGATCTGATTGTAATCTTAGCTCTACATTTCTACGTTTCCATCATGTCATGAGGATTGACCTGTCTCTCAATGTTGCCAAGCTCTCATCTGTGGTTGTCCCAGGATGAACTTTGCATTCAACTGCTTTGTTCAGCCGTATTAGAATCATGCAAACGCTGAGAGATCTGATGAGGTTCGACACTGTGACCATCCCCAAGTATCAGTTTATGGGTTTGGTCACAGTTGAAATAATCCCTTGCCTAAACATAGAGTCGATTTCCTTCTTTATCTTTGGCAAGAAGCATTTTTCTGGGTGTAAACAGATTAACTGGCTTTGTTTCAGAATGTAGGGTCATGTGGTTTTCTTAATTCCTAGGCTTTCTGAATGCCGTGAACAATTATGGAAATTCAGTTCTGAAGTTTTTTGGCTGGTCTCTGATTTTCAGATCCTCTACTCTCGAATCTCTGTCTTTGAGTGTAACTAACTCTGGTGTCAGATCAAATTCAAGCTTGCAACATTTCCTCTTTCTATCTCTATCTCTCTCCCTGCCTACCTGTCTCATTGCATTTATTTGCCCTATGACCTTGAATTCCATTACTTCTAGATCCATGTAGTTTGCTTTTCACAAGCTGGCTGAAGAGAACTTTTCTCTAACTGTGGTTCAGCATTTCAAAGAACTGAAACTGCTGCACCTGTCTCATTCAAAAGTCTGTTTTGTTCCTTTCTACCTGGACACTAGCACTTTAGTAGCTTTCTGTTTGGTTCCTCGATTTCTGCAAGGAGAAGCATCTCAGTAGCATGTCTTGCTAGCTTTCAAAGGCTTCTGTCTTTGCTCCAGTTATGAAGAGGAGTCACTGGAATTAACAGTGGAGAGGCAATGGTCTAGTGATATTATCACTGGATTATTAATCCAGAAACCCAACTAATGTTCCTGGGTTCGTATCCCGTTGTGGCAGATGATGGAATTCAAATTCCAATAAAGAATATGGAATTAAGAGTCTAATGGTGACCATGAATCCATTGTCGATTTTTGGAAAAACCCATCTGGTTCACTAATGTCCTTTAGGTAAGGAAATCTGCCATCCTTATCTGGTCTGGCCTACATGTGACTCTCGACCTACAGCAATGTGCTTGAGTAATAACCGCCCTCTGGGCATTAAGGGATGGTCGATATCTGCTGGCCTAGCCAAAGATGCCCATATCCCATAAATGCCTTTTACAAGATCCCTCATGGCAGACTGGTTCAAAAGGTGAAGTCACATAGTTTTGGAGTGAGCTGGCAAGATGGATACAGAACTGGCTTGATCATAGGAGACAGAGGGTAGTGGTGAAAGGATGCTTTTCAGAATGGAAGTTTGTGACTACTGGTGTTCCACAGGGATCAGTGCTGGGACCTCTGCTATTCATGGTCTACATAAAGGATATGGAGGAAAATGTAGCTGGTCTAATTTGTAAGTTTGTGGATGATACAAAGATTGGTGGAGTAGTAGATAGTGAGGAGGATTGTCAGAGCGTACAGCAGAATATAGATCAGTTGGAGGCATGGGCAGAAAAGTGGCAGAAGGAGTTTAATCCAGACAAATGTGACATTTTGAAATGTTAAGTACAGGTGGAAATTATACACTGAATGGCAGAACCCTTAGGAGTATTGATATGCAAAGGGATCTGGGTGTGTAAGTCCACAGATCACTGAAGGTGGCAGTGCAGGTCGATAAGGTAGTAAAAAAGGCTTATAGCATGCTTGCCTTCATTGGAAGGGGTACTGAGTATAAGGATAGGCAAGTTATGCTGTAGCTTTATAGAACTTTAGTTAGGCCACACTTGGAATACTGCGTACAGTTCTGGTCACCACACCACCAGAAGGATGTGGATGCTTTGGAGAGGGTACAGAAAAGGTTTACCAGGATGTTGCCTGGTATGGGGACTTTTAGCTGTGAAGAAAGGTTGGATAGACTGGGTTTGTTTTCACTGGAACACAAGAGGTTGAGGGACAACCTGTTAGAAGTTTATAAAATTGTGATTGGCATGGATAGAGTGGAAAGTATGAGGTTTTTTTCCAGGGTGGAAGGATCAATTACTAGGGGACACAGGTTCAAGAAACAGTGGGGGTGGATGTTTAAAAGAGGCACATTTTTCTCACAAAGGGTGGTGAGTGCCTGGAATGCAATGCCAGAGGAGGTAGACAACAGCATTATTCAAGAAACACCTGGACATTAGTAGGAAGGGAATAGAGGGATATGGATCCTGCAAGTGAAGACATTTTCCTCTTCCATACCAAAACTGTGGCGGCGCAGGTTTGGAGGGCCGCAGGGCCTGTTCCTGTGCTGTTTTGTTCTTTGAAGTTTAAAAACTCTGATTTCTCTCCACAGATGCTGCCAGACCTGCTGAGTTTCTCCAGCGATTTTCCGTTTTTATTTGTTCCTCACTTTTGTCTGTTCTGCTCACACTTCTTGTTGCTCGCTGCTTTCCAGTTTCTTCTATTGAGTTGCTGGTGTTTGAGATATGTCATACTGGAACACCAATCCATTTTGCTCCCTGACCTCTGCCTTTCTGCTGATTTGAACTTTCTTTGTTAAAATTCTCACTCTCCACCGTAGGTAATCAGGTCCATGTTTCTTCTCAGACTCCCAACAACAATCCTGCCCCTGCCCAGTTATTTTAAGCTGCCATATTCATAATTCTCTGCAAATCTGTAATTGACAGTAATGTCAATATTTTCCCCACGTCTCTGGGTATGCTCCATAGCTTCTTTTCTGTTGACCCCTTGCTGCTGGCACTAATTTAAATAGGACTAGTTTAATTGTGAAAAACTAGGCGGCATGGACAAGTTGGGCCGAAGGACCTATTTCCATGCTGTAAACCTCTGTTACTCTACACTATTGTCTGTACAGCTGTCCATTGCATGCAATAGCATACTGACCTGCTGACTGTTTGGCTTCACTAACTGTGACACTTCATAAATCTTTGCTACTTAGCTATGCTTCTGTTTAATTGCAAGCTGCTTGAAGGTTTTTTTTGGCAATGGTAGAAACTTTTCCATACTCTACTTTCCACCATCTAACATTCTTGGCCTTGTGTTGCTGAAGAATATTTGCTGTGATGGTGTACATTGTCTCATGACCAAACCTCAACAGTCAGACCCAACCCTTTCTATGGGATAGAAACTTAGTCTCCAATTCGATTTGACTGGAGCTAGCATAGGGGCAGAAAGCAGGAAGGAATGTGCACAATTGAGCAAGGGTGGAGGGAGACCAGCCAGAGGTGAACCTTTGTCCACTTTGGAAATGTTTGAAAGGACATCAAAGCTGTAATTAAAAGACCTTCAAGGGATTGTAAATTTCTGTAGTATCTGGTGCCATGATTTCTAAAGTCCTTCCAATTTGAACATATGAAAAAGTGAAATAGTTACAGCAGCTACCAAGCTGGTGTCATTTATTTCTCTTTCGAGCGGCCTGTTCCAGGAACGGTCTAGCCGGGAAAGTTGCCATTTCTGCAGGGGTGATACTTCCCCTTTAAGAGACGGGTCGTCACTGAAGGAAGACGGTTGAGCTTTCTTGCACTTTAACCACAGTTTGGTGAGGGAATTACAGGGAGGGGCTGATTTAAACTGTGTCGTGTTACATACCAGCACAACCCCCACCCAGCAAGAAAATCGGGTTTGTCGGCCTGAACAGTGAGGGCACAGGAGTGCCAGCAGTTCCTGTTCATCTGATGCCTACGTTAAGAAAAAAAATTTGGTCATGCATTTGACCATCTTTGTGCTCCAGGTCATTTGTTGCTATAGCGCTAGTTCTGGCTGTTCTTTAGACCAGCCCACCAATCAGTGGGACCAGCAGCAGCAAGTTGATGCTTGCCAGTTTAACCCATGGTGAAACTTTGATTACTCAGTGAACTCTGAGATCTACACTTCCTCCAAAACTGAAAGGGGTGGGGGGTGGATCCACTTATTTTAAATCATTTAGCAAGAGAATGCCTGCAAATAGACGACATGAGGCTGCATAGCTGCTGTAATTATATATTTTTTTAATTTAAAAAATCAGATTACATTGCATGAAGTTGCAGTTTTGGTTTGGGCTCTTTTCACTAGAGTAGCTTCCTTGTATTAAAAGGGTGGCACTGTATGTTTGATTGGGAGGAGTTACTGAACGTCGTCAGTGTGAGAGACCCAAATTAATCCCAGTGCACATACAATCATTAACACGCAAGGTGCTGGGAGGAGTTACTGAACCTTGTAGTGCGAGGAACCTGAGTTGGCACCAGCAAAAGACCATCCTTTTTTTTCCCCTTTTGAGTGACTCGAGAGTTTTTTTTTGTGATGTTTTTCGTCATATCCATTTGAGCCTGAGAGTTTAGTTTCCTCCTACTGTAAGGTACAATTAAACTCCTCCGGCTGCTCCACCATGATGTCTTCTTCAATGTTGTTGAAACAGAAATATTACAAAAAGCAGCCGAAGAAGCGAAATGCCAATCATAAAATGTGAGTAGTTTTTGCTCTTTGAACTTTCTTTGCTGTGTGTTACGACTCACTCTAGCCACAGTGGGGCTGTGAGACTGCCAGCCCAGATCAACACGTCCTGGGTCTGGCTTCCCTTCCGTCTTTGCCCCTCACCTTGAATGGGAGGAGAAAGCGTCCTGTCTGTGTACCTGTAGTGGCCGGCTCCTTCCTCCTCCGTCTCCCTGTATTGCCTGAAACGTCCACCGTTCTGGTGTTTGCTGTATAAATCTTTTCCTCATCAGCCTGTTCAGACACACCTCTGGAGCAGGTGGGATTTGAACCCGTGTCTTCTGGCTCAGAGGCAGTGATACTACCACTTTGCCCTCAAAAGCCACGATATTTGTTGAACCCACTTGCAGTTTTTGGAGATTTTTAAAATGGAAATCCAGCTCTGTTGAATTGGCCCGTCTGGGGAAATGCTGGCCCTCAATGTTTGTTTAGCAGCTGGCAGATTGTTTTTTTTTTAATCAATGCACCAGATTACAGGTTGGGAGTAACAGTTAATCTCGGGCAGTCGTGTATCTCTGTTTCTGTTGGACATTCCTTTAGCTCATCAAGAGCCCCATCTGAAAAGCAAAAGTATACTCTGTTCTGCCACGGTGTGATTGGCTTTGACGTATCAATTTAGACAAGTGCTTTTGATCCCTTGGTACTTAATCTCCTATGATTGACTTTTATATCGCATGGAGGAGGGTGTGAGGGTCGTTGGGGAAAAAATATTTAAATGGTAACCTCATTAATCCTGCTTCTACACAGAGTACAGTGATTTGACTGGCAGCGTTACTGTGGCGTTGTTAAGATGTCTTATTCGAACTTAACTTTATAGTCAAAAGAAACAGCACATTGTAGAGCTTTGATCCATGATCTCTGAGTTAGCCAGAAGTGTAGGTGCTTTAGTTAGGCCTCTCTCTTTTTTCACGAGGTTAGCAGGAGGAATTAGCCTGGTTTCCCTTTTCCTGATTCTATCCATTTGAAAGCGATGGTTCTGACTAAGGAGGAGGGTGTTTGCTTTCTCTTGGATGCCTCCTCTGCAGTTGAATAGTCTCCTGAGAAACGGGCAACAGCTGTCTTGGTCCAGAGCAAGAGTCACTCCAGTCAACAGAGTCCACAGTTCCGGGTGAAGTACAGAGGAGAGCTTTATTGCAGCACAGTCATCTCCTGCTCCCTCCCCCACACATCTTTTGACTTCACCAGAAGTGGCCGAACCCGGAACTCGGGCTGCCAAAAAAGAACCCCGAGAGCGCCCCTTTCCCGAGTAACTCCACAACTGCCACTTCAAGCGAACGACCAAAGCAGAAACGACTGATTAAATATAGAGAAGGCAGAGGAATAATGATTTCAATTAATAAGTGGGTTAAAGGCAGGGTGGCTGCCTGGGTGGGGTCGCAAGTACTGAGTAATGATAATATTGACACACACTGTGGAACTACTGTGCTACATTACAACACCAGTGCATTTTCATTTTTTTGTCATGTAAGACAGTAAAACACACCTTCCTATGTTCCAAACCATGTATAAGTTGGAAACTGAGAATTCAAGGATTCATTTTTAATTTTTCACTTCAGATCTACATTGCATGCCAACCATTTTTTAATCTCCTGGGTCTGCTTGGCACACTTTCAATTTCCCTGTGTAACTTCCAATTTGAGACTACCCTTCTTGGCATCCATTTTTAAGATTGTAAATATTGCTCCAGGTATACACTGTGTACCTTTTTTTTGTCTTAGTTTATGAAGTGAAGAAAACAAAAAAAATACTGCATTTATATGCCTCCTTTTACGTCCTCAGAAGATTAGAGCTCTTTACAGCCAGTGAAGTTCTTAGTGGTGTAGTTGCTACTGGAATGTTGGGAACCATAGCAGCCAGTTTGCACACAGCAAGATCCCACAAGCAGCATTGAAGCAAAGGACCAGGCAAGATGAAAACCGAAAGAACTGCAGACGCTGTAAATCAGAAACAAAACCAGAAGTTGCTGGTAAAGCTCGGCAGGCCTGGCAGCATCTATGAAGAAATAAACGGAGTTAATTTTTCAGGTCTGGTGACCCTTCCTCAGACCGGACCTGAAACATTATCTCTAATTTCTCTTCATAAATGCTACCAGACCTGCTGAGCTTTTCTAGCAACTTCTGTTTTAGTTGCAAATCACCCGGCAGTCTGGTTCAGGAGTTTGGTTGAGGGGTTAAAAATTAGCAAACCTTAGAGTTCCTCCACACTGATAGTTAATATTGAGCTGAGTGGGGAGTTAAGAGTTTAATGCCATATTTAAAAGGCAGTGCAGCATTCCCTCAGCATTGCACTGGAGTGAGAGTCTGTTTCTGTATATCAATGGGAGTGGAGACTCCATCCAGAACTGCCTGACTCACTGAGCGTTCTATCACTCAGCCAGGGCTGACTCATTTGAATTTTGATGCAGGCAGAATTTATTTTCCTGTTTTTGGAGATGTGTGTATTTGAATTACCTTTCAAGCCCTACCTAGATGGTATGCAAATCAGGAGATTGAGATTAACGTGGAGAAGGTGCAAGGGCATTGCCATCTGATGTGTCTAACAGAGTGCCCTGGAGTTCTTTGAAGTGTCATCTCCATCTCTCAGCCCAACAGCATCACTGGTCCATTTCCATGACAACTGTAATTTTAGCATTCAAGTGAGTGTTTAGATTGATTTATCTCTGCCTTAGTGATCCTATTTGTATTTTGGGTTTGGCCTCAGTCACTTTTTTTTCCCCACAGTAGCTCCTATGTTTCACTGCTTCTTTGGATTCTCTCCTCTCTTGCTTTTGATTTTCCAGAGTGCTTTGTTCACATTGCTGTGAATGTACATGGGCATGGGCATGCGCACACACACAAGCTGTGGGCTATCTCAAGCTCGCACTCCTGCACGTCCTAAGAAATTCATTCTTGAGATGTGAGTGTCTTTTCATAAGGATTTTTCTTTATTCCCTGGGATGCAGGCTTTGCTGGCTGAGCTGGCACTTGCTGCCTTTGAAGGTGGTGAATATCCTTGAGCTGCTGCAGTCTACGTGCAGTGAAGGAATAGTGATTATATTTCCAAGTCAGCGTGGCACATGACAAGGAAGGGAATTTGCAGGGGGTGGTGTTCCCATGTATCTGCTACCCGTGAGTATAGGAGTTGGGAAGTCATGTTGCAGCTGTACAGGACATTAGTTAGGCCACTTTTGGAAAACTGCATTCAGTTCTGGTCTCCCTGCTATAGGAAGAATGAATGGGTTCAGACAAGATTTACAAGGATGTTGCTGGGGTTGAAGGATTTCAGCTATAGGGAGAGACTGTCTAGGCCTGGGGCTGATTTTCCCTAGAGCATTGGAGGCTGAGGATTGCTGGGATACTATCATTGAGTTAGAAACCTTTGTACACAATCCGTGTAGCTCCATTCTTTCCCTGTGACTCAGTCAAGGTGGTTAACTGTTGTTAAGTATATCTAGAGGCCTAAAATGTCATGGCTAAAGCCTGTCATACTCCCAATTAACCAGATGTGTGGCAGGACACTGCAACACTGCCAAGAAAGTCACACACTGTAGGTCAGCTTGATAAGGTAAACATCTGGTGGCTTTTCAGTTGCAGAGTAGCCATATTTCAGACAGACCATTAGCAGCCAATTTGCTGTGGTACATCAGGATCTGGAATGTACTGTCCACAAGGCTGCTGGAAGCCAATGCAATAGTAACTTTGAAAAGTGAATTAATTAATACACCTTTATTGTATTTGTGAAAATATAAGTAACAATAAATTTCTATTTTTCTATCTAATTGGGTAAATACTTGGCAAAGGAGAAATTTGCAGTGTCTATTGGGAAATAATGGGCATTGGAACTAACTGCCCAGCAATATCCCAATTCTCAAATTCTGTTTTATTTTTATAATCCCTGCCTAGCCATGCCCAGTCTCAGTACCCGCTGTAGTCCTGAAATCCTCCAAAGTCTCTGCCATCTATTGCCGGGCCCCCTGCCCATCCTGATTTTACTCCCTCCACTACCGGTGCCTTTAGACCGTCAGCCTGAAACTCTTTCTCTTTCTGTCTCTCCTTTCCTGTTGACCCTGCCATCTCCTCTTGTGACTTGGTGTCACATTTTTGATATGATGGTCCTCCTGTGGAATGTTCTGTGCTGTGAAAATGGATTGTTGCTGTTGTTTTATGAAGGCAAGCTTTCTTTTATTCTGGCCACCGTTCCTTTTGCATTTCAACATCCTCCAGCCTCGTGCTGCGTGTGTTGTAAGCAGGGGCACTTGCCCTAATGGGGCGATGTGTCTAGCTGGGGTATGCATGACTGAGGTGGGGGAGGGGGTGCGCGAGGTGAGAAAAACTGGAGAATATGTTTAGGGAAAACCGTCCAGGAGACTCTGAAAATGAGAGTTTCATCTCCTGGATGCTGTTACATATGACCCCTGGAGAAAAATCAATAACTGAAGAATACGCACGTATTTTCGGTTTCTTTTGGAAAATTTTTGTTTCTTAAAAGGTGGGTGAAGGGAGTAAATGTGCATTGGGACGATCAGACCTTCATGCCGAAGTTGTCCATCACTCTTTGGTTGTTGAGTATGGTGTACTTGGTTGTACCAACACTCAATATTGAGAAACATCTACAGCAGCAAATGGACAGTGATTTCATGTCTGAAAAGCATTTGTTTTGTCCATCAGCATCAGGAAGACTGAGTCATGATCTACTGTGTTGACGTATTACCATCTATTACCAACTAGTGTGACACTGAAAGTTGTCTCCACAATCACCAGCAATCTCACTTGATGCTTCACTCCCAAAAAGCTGTAGTTGTTGTATCCAAGCTGAATGAGAGCGGAAGGAACAGTAACGACCTGATTGAGAACACTGAGCCTGCGTCTTCAACTCCCTATCTACAGGGTGACATCTGCGCAACATCTGCTAGGCAGGAAAATAGGCTGAACAGTTTCTATGTTTTGCAGTCTCTGATTACATCCTTGCCCTCTCCGGCAGGACAAGGACACCAA